GTACCCCTAAGGCCGTGGTCAGGGCTAGATCTTAAAGATTCCAGGAGGCCCCATGACCCCAGGTGGCTGCTGGAGCCACCCACCCTTGGCCACCATCCTGGTCGCCTGTACTCTGACAGGCAAAGGAGCTCCATGAGACAGACGCCACCTCAAGCCGGGTGTGGATCCTCACCAGCACCCTGACCACCAGCAAGGTGGTGATCATCGATGCCAACCAGCCAGGCACCGTGGTGGACCAGTTCACCGTCTGCAATGCCCATGTCCTGTGCATCTCCAGCATCCCCGGTGAGTGCCGCCCCACAAGAGCCAGTGCCCAAGAGGGAGGGGTTGGGCTGCTCAGAGGACAAGGAGGATGTTATGTAAGGCGACTTGCAGGGAAGCACCTGCCTCTGTGACACCCCATGGACACAGGAGCTGGTGGGGAGGGTGGGAGGAGGGCCACGCTGGTGGCCTCATCCTGCTTAGTCTTACGGACACAGGAGATGCGATGTGCTGCTCACCGATCAGAAGCAGGTGGGTTGGCACCAGCAGGCGACCTCCATTCCCTCCCTCACACCCCAATGGGACATGAGCTCTGGGTGTGGTCTTGCAGCGGCCAGCGACAGTGACTACCCTCCCGGGGAGATCTTCCTAGACACCGACGTGAACCCCGAGGACTCTGGTGCGGACGGGGTGCTGGCCGGCATCACCCTCGTGGGCTGCGCCACACGCTGCAATGTGCCGCGGAGCAACTGCTCCTCCCGAGGGGACACCCCAGTGCTGGACAAGGGCCAGGGTGAGTCCTGGGCCTGAGCCCCAAAGCAGCCTTCTCTCTGCCTCCTTGTTCCTCTCCCTGCCCAGCCAAGCTGACCTCTCCCTTCCACAGGGGAGGTGGCTACTGCCGCCAATGAGAAGGTCAACCCTTCACAGTCCACGGAAGAGGCCACAGAGGCCACAGAAGTCCCTGACTCTGGGCCCAGTGAGGCAGAGGCAGCTGCAGTGCGGCCCGGGCCCCTCACGGAACACGTCTTCACCGACCTGGCCCCTGCTCCAGCCCCCAGTGCCCAGCCTGGCAGGTGGGCCTCTGAGATGGGGCAGAGACAGAGGGGAGGGAAGGCTGACAGGTGGGCAGGGATCGGCCTCCATGGGCTGTCCTAGAGCCATCGTTCTTCCTGCAGTGAAAATGGGCCAGAGGCTACCTCGAGTGATGTGCAGCCCGAGCCTGAGCCCAGTGGAGACCCCAAGGGGGCCAGCAGCAGTGCCTCGCCCACCATGTGGCTGGGAGCCCAGAACGGCTGGTACGTGGGGCTCTGGGGGCAGGAGTGGGGCAGGGCCCCCCGGGCAAGCCCCTGCCTACCTCAGCCTTCTCCTGCAGGCTGTACGTGCACTCGGCCGTCTCCAACTGGAAGAAGTGCCTGCACTCCATCAAGCTGAAGGACTCCGTACTGAGCTTGGTGTATGTGATTTTTAGCCGAAAGCCAGGCATCAGGAGGGGGCCTTGGACGGCCCAGCCTGAGCCTGGCTCACCACCTTCCCATTCCAGGCACGTGAAAGGACGAGTGCTGGTGGCTCTGGCAGATGGGACTCTGGCCATCTTCCACCGCGGCGAAGGTGAGGCCTGGCAGCAGTGGGCAGGTGGGCGGCATCTGGTGGTCCTGGCAGGGTGTGAACCACACTCACTGTGGGCAGTTGTGGAACCTGGCCAGGCCTGAGCCGGTGTGGTGGGCTCTGCAGATGGCCAGTGGGACCTGAGCAACTATCATCTGATGGACCTGGGCCACCCACACCACTCCATCCGCTGCATGGCCGTTGTGTACGACCGTGTCTGGTGCGGCTACAAGAACAAGGTGCACGTCATTCAGCCCAAGACGATGCAGATAGAGGCAAGTGCTGGTGGTAGGGGCCTTAGGGAGGGAAAGGGGCTTCTGCTGTCAGCATTGCTCCAGACACGCCTTCTGGTAGATGTTGGGGGCTCTGTGGGGTCAGAGGAACTGCATTCAGGGAAGTGACTCATTTGTCCAAGGTCACAGGCAGGGAGAGGTGGCTGGACTGTGAATGCTGGTCTGTCTGGAGCTCACCTGCTGCTTCGTTCTGAAACAAGTCAAGTTGATGCCTGTGCTACCTGAACGCGGGCTCAGGTGTGGGGCGGTTGGCTGGGGCCCTCCTAGGAGCCTAGACCCATGGAGCAAATCAGGCTCTAGAGCCAAGGTTACAGTGAGCTGGGTAGACATCGGTGAAGCCCTGGCTGTGGCAGGTTCAGCTCCCCTCCCTCTGCCCCCGTTGACGGGCTGCTGTGACCCTCAGAAGTCCTTCGATGCCCACCCGCGGCGGGAGAGCCAAGTGCGGCAACTGGCATGGATCGGCGACGGGGTGTGGGTGTCCATCCGCTTGGACTCCACACTGCGGCTGTATCACGCCCACACCCACCAGCACCTGCAGGACGTGGACATCGAGCCCTACGTCAGCAAGATGCTGGGTAAGGCTGTTGGACTGGCCCAGCAGGGCAGAGAGGGCCTGAGGCAGCGCTGACCCCGCCTACTCTTCCCCCTGCCCCCCAGGCACCGGCAAGCTGGGCTTCTCTTTCGTGCGCATCACAGCCCTGCTTATTGCGGGCAACCGTCTCTGGGTGGGCACCGGCAACGGAGTCGTCATCTCCATCCCGCTGACCGAGAGTGAGTGACCCAGACACCTGCAGAGGTGGTGATGGCAGCCGCTAAGGGGCATGTGGCAGGGTCCCGGGGCGGGTGTGCCCTGCCAGGCCGCTCAGGAGGACATGGCTGCGCTGGCCATAGCCCTCCTGTCCTCCCCCTCCTGTGACTGCTTCTCTCCTCTCCCCTCCATGCTTTGCCCCTCACCTCCCCCAGCTGTGGTTCTGCACCGAGGCCAGCTCCTGGGGCTCCGAGGTAAGTCCACAGGCCTGCCTCCCGCTCTCTGAAAGGCCCCAACCCAAGATGCCCTGCGGGCCCCACAGCGTGCTCCTACCCTTTGCCCTCACCTGCTTGGAAATTTCCCAGTCGATGGGTTCAGCCCCTCCAGGCTCCTCTCTATCAACAGCCAACAAGACATCCCCCACCTCTGGGGAGGGGGCCCGCCCAGGAGGCATCATCCACGTGTACGGCGACGACAGCACCGACAAGTCGGCTAGCAGCTTCATCCCCTACTGCTCCATGGCCCAGGCTCAGCTCTGCTTCCATGGGCACCGCGACGCTGTCAAGTTCTTTGTCTCAGTGCCAGGTGAGTGGCGGGCCCCACTCCCTGCAGGTGGCACCCGTGGCCTCCCTTCAGGAGCCTGCATGTTGGCTCTGGCTGTCCTCCTAAGGCCCCTGTACCTCCTGACAGGGAATGTGCTGGCCACTCTCAATGGCAGCGTGCTGGACAGCCCGTCCGAGGGCCCCGGGCCTGCCGCCCCTGCCTCGGAGGCGGAGGTCCAGAAGCTGAAGAATGTGCTGGTGCTGAGCGGTGGGGAGGGCTACATTGACTTCCGCATTGGTGAGTGGGAGCTGCCTTCAGGCCCCAGGGACTCCTGGGCAGGGGCTGCCCCTCACAGCCGTCTGCTCTCTCCCCAGGCGACGGGGAGGACGATGAGACGGAGGAGAGTGCAGGGGATGTGAGCCAGGTGAAGCCCATGCTGTCCAAGGCCGAGCGCAGCCACATCATCGTGTGGCAGGTGTCCTACTCCCCCGAGTGAGGCATGGCCTCTGTTGCCCCCTACCTGGCACCATCATGTACATATGCCCACCCTGCCCCATGGGGCAGCCCACCAGCCCCTCTCTAACCTCTCAACCTGCAGCTTTCACCTTAGGTCCGGCCTGGGAGCTGACAGGGGCAGCAAGCAGCAAAGCGGATCTGGCTGGGAGGTGGGAGGTAGAAGGGACAGAGCCTTGGGGACACCCTTTTCCAAGCAGCTCCTGGCCAGCCCCCCGTCCAGAGTCCAGACCCAGGGCACTGGAGGGCCAGAACAAGGCAGAATTCCAGAGTGAACATTCCCCAGGGAGCTCCCATCTCATCAGGGGAGGAAGCAGGGTCCTCACAGCCAAGGCCCACTTGCCTTTGCCTGCTGTCTGAGGCGGGTGGGGTCTGACCTTAAGGGAGCCAGCCCAGCCACTAGCCTTCCCTGGGTTCCCCCATGCCCTGCCCCTGCCACCCCAGGAAATGGCAGGAAAGCATGTATCCAGGCTCCCGGGGCAGCTGTGTGAGAAGATAGATGCCCTCGTCGTGCTCATGTTCCCCGAGTCCCTGTGTGGCAGGCTCACCAGCCCTCATCAACCCATGTGTCCTCTCCTGGGCAGAAGGCCCACCTTATAGAAGCAGGCCCTGCAGTCCTCCTCCTGGACGGCCCCAGGGTGGGGTTTCTCAGGCTGCCAGGGCAGACCCAAGCCTCAGGAAGGGGTGGGGGGCTGGGCCTCAGGGTGAGGGCAGAAGGTGTGCTCCAGGGCCTGCCTCCCAGGCAGTCTCCGAGGAGCCCAGCTCCCAAGACACGTTACTAAGTGCCTCGGGCTGGTGGTGTGGCCTTCTCCCTTAAGGGCAACTGACAGGCTGACAGCGGAGACCCTCAGGGCTCAGGACGGGCCACCTCCCTGGCTCTAGGAGCATGCACCACCTGCTTTGAAGGGCACCGCCCTGGACTGCTGCCTCCCCACCTGCCCAGGCCCAGGCCTTACTCCTGCTCCGAGAAACACTGATCAGGGCAGCCCCCGGCCCTGCTGCCCACGCACCTCCCACCAGAGAAGCACAGATCTTGGGCAGCCATGCCGTAGCCCAGCCAGGACCACTGCAGTCACGTGCAGCTTAGGCTTCTCCCCACCGCCTGCCCCTCTCCACTGTGATGTATGTCAAGTCCTTGTCTGTCCCACAGGGCCAGGATGGCCGGGGTTATCTGGGTGGATGCAGCTGGGGGAAGGGGCTGGGTGACGATTCTCCTCAGGCTTTGGCCCTGCAAGCAAACCCGCGTATCTGCTCTGTGTAATAAATGTCTTACCATGGAGCCTGTGTCCCTGAACCCAAACCAACGTGAGCACAAGGGTTTTCTTCAGTTTATTATAAAAAACACACACGCTGGACCGAGCTGAGCGCCAGGCCTTCTCCGCTCTGGTGCATTTCCAGGCGCACTACACAGTGCCGTCAATGTCTGGGGCAGACCCACCTGTCCTCTTGGAGGTCCGAAGGGTGCTGTCCACCCTGCCACAGGGTGTCCTGGGCCCCACCGCAGGGGCCTGGAGGGTGCGAAGTCACCCACACCTATTGCAGCCCGGGGTGCTCAGCTCGGGTCCCGCCGTTACTCATACAGCCAGCGCTCGGCGCTGTCCTCCCAGCAGAGCAGCTCGTTGGGGCTGAACCAGAGCGCGATCTCTCGGCGGGCACTCTCCACGGAGTCGCTGCCGTGAATCACATTCCTGCGCGGGAAAGGCGCCCTGAGTGCGGGCAGGAGCCCCACGAAGCCCTGCTTGGGGCGGGGAGTCCGGAGGGGGTAGCAATGTCCCCGGGGCCAGGGCCGGCCTTACTTGCCAACCTCGATGCAGAAATCTCCGCGGACGGTGCCGGGCGGAGCATCCGCTGGGTC